TGGGATGGATATGCATAATTTTTTTATGAATAATTCACTTTACTGGCATATACTTACGTAATAACCTCAAAATAGCACCAATCAAAAACTGTATAGTAAAATTAATACACATATGTATGTCGAGTTCAAATATCCATCAAGGTTAAATATCGAAATATATTTTCAAATATCTTAGAATTATGTGAAATTTACGTCTCTAAAACACCCGTTTTGATTTTTCTTACTATATTTAAACTATATCTAAATGTAACCAAAAATATTTTCGCGAATCTTTGATCTGCTTTGTTCGCTATATATAAACAAACTAGGTATTTTCCATTTTCTTATTTCTACTATGCAAAGCTTTTTTATTATTGCCAAGTTTTAAGAACCTACGCGTTTAGTGTTAACTCTAATCCCCTCATATAAATATCTCTGTGCTTTTTGCTTTAAACGTAAAATGCATCTTTAAACCAGTTTTATACATTAAGCTCATTTACATACCCGCGTACATACATACATTTGTACGTTAACGAAAGCTACGCCTGAATTTTGACATTTTGTGGGTAGTCGGTTTTTTGTCGTACCAGGTGCGATCTTGCCCAGTAAGCCAATGGACAAGAAATTACCTTTGCGCAAGCGCGTGAGCGCAAGTATGTAAAGTTACTAGCTTTTAAAAAATAATTGTCATACATTTCGTCATGGAAAATCTATGGTCCGCAGGCTGAAGCGGTTTCGACAACACTTAAACGTTTGCGACAAAGTTCTCCATTTCACAGTTTCTCTCGGATTTATATTATCCATATATGTATGTACGTATATAAGAATATATATGTAAATACATAGGTATATTGGGGTGCAACACTCTCCACAAAAAATCGCTATTAATTTTCCATCGGAATTATAAAATCTATTATATTTTGAGATTTGCGTGAGCTGGAACAATTGGAAAATACCTACAAAAATCTGGTTTTTTTAATAAAATTATTTCCAAACAATCAGAGGACAGAAGAGTTTCAGCCCAGGAGGGCTGCATAAAATTGTTTCAAAATTTTAACAACGGAATCAAAATAAAAGAGATTTTTGGAGGTACATATCGGTCCAGCTCACGTAAATCTTAATATTTTTCCGAAATTAGTTGACGGAAGTCTTAAAATATAGTAAATTGTATAGTTGCGGTGGAAAAACTCAACGCGTTTTTAGTGGGGCACCCTAATATATACGCCAAAGGGATTTATTAAATTTATTTTCAAAATATACATTAAAAAGTAGCGATGAGTGAATGACATTCGAGCTATACATATACATAATTATGTAATATTAAAAAATTAACTTTTCAACTTGGCCGAACAAAAGTAATGTCTTGTTTTCGATACATATGACTCATTTGTGTATGTTCACTACAAAATGAGTGTAAATGAAGTGTTTGAAACATTTCGAGAAGGACTAAATCGTCGATTTATTGAATGCTTATCAGTTCCTGCTCCCTTAGCTCCAGAAAAAGAGCTCATATTGTAGACTGCACTGTTGTCATAAGTACTTGCTCGTGTTGATTGTATGCTATTACTGAAAGAAATATAAAAAAATTTACAAACATATGTATATATTTAGTAGTTCTTTTCACGATATACTATAGTTGATATATTAAGATATGCTTAGAAATTCAAAGTATTTAAGACCGATAGGATTCGCAAAATTATTTTTTTTTTTAATTTTTTCAAAAAAATATATATTTAAAAAAATAAAGAACCAACTAAAAAAAATACACACAAGTTAAAACGTTGAAGCTGTAGCATGCATCTAGGAGCTAGGTGTTAAAAGTAAGTTGAAAATGGTTTACAACAACTTTTCGTTGATTGATTTTGTTTCAATGTTAACGAATTAGTTTTAATTAATTTTGTTTTGATAACAAGGCGTCGAAACGTAACAAAATAATTTTGTTAAGTTATTTTTACATCATTAGTGTCATAATCCAAAAAATTCAAATATTGAGTTAAGTATGCGAAGGCCGCTGTAGTGTAGTAGTTAGCAGTGCGCGCTACCACTTCGCAGGGCCTGGGTTCAAGCCCTGGTCAAAGCAACATCGCAAAAAAATATAGATACACCCCTATTTGCAACACTTTCGTATTCGGATTTTGTTACGAATCGTAGAAATGGTATGCGGCAATCCGAGTCGTAACTTCGAACTTTAAAAATTCGTAACAATGGCATTCCTAAAAACGAACGAGTAAAAAATTTCCAGCTTTTTGCGTAATTTTGTACAAAAACAATTCTGTGAGGGTTTCCGCCCTCTTTTCCGGCCACGCAGAAAAGATAATTCCCATTATTAAGGCTTATAAGCTCTAAAGAATTTGATAAGTGAATAAGGTATCGCATATGGGTGTCATACGAAAGAGGTTTAAGAAAATAGTAGTTGGGAAATATTTTGAAAAGGGTTGCCACCTATTTGAGAAGTGTAATTGAACTATTTTTTATATATAATATTAACGATGGATGTCAAATGAGAGAGCTTCAAGATGTGTTTGAGGGTTGCCCCCGTTTAAAGGGCTAAACTAAAATTATTTAATAGTTAAATTAATTACTAACCGATAGTTATCAATGGAAATGGGTTTAAAATCCTTTATTTAAGAACTATATTTAGGAGGATTGCCACGTGTTTAAAAAATTAATTTCCACTTAATTCATCAGTTACATGAAACATTTACAACAATGTCAGACGAAAAATATTTAAGGAAGTTTTAGTTCGAAAATAATTTTTAAGAGGTTGCCGCCTGTTTTGAAAGTGGTATTTCGTTTAATTATACATAAGTTACATGAAATTTTAAAATTTGGTTATCACAAGAGCGAGTGTTAAGAAATCTTTAAGCTGGACATTTGTTTTTTTTTTTTGTTGAAAAAATTAAGCTCAAATTATTTAATAAGTTAAATGGATTGTCAAAAGATGGGTATCAATCGAAGCGGGTTTGAAAATAATTTATTTCTAAACTCTATTTAGGAGAGTTGCCATGTGCTTAAAAAAATTAAATTCAACTTAATTCATCAGTTGATTGAAATATGTATAACAATGCCAGGTGACAGATTTTAGTTTGAAAATACTTTTAAAGGGGCTGCCACTTGTTTGAGAAGTCGAATTTGTTTTACTTATACGAAAGATACATTAATGAAATATCGAAATATTAGTGTCAAACGAAAGAGTTCTGATAATATTTTTAATTAGAGTTGCCATCTATTTTTTTTTTTGAAGGTCATCACATCTGCACCGTTATT